TGGTAGTGGCTTGGGGCTCGACGGAGGGTCTTCGGCTTCATGTTTCCGCTGCATCCTCTTCTTGTCAGTGCCATCCAATGATGGGGCTGTAACATTCCCATAGTCCGTTTCCTCATTTTGGTGTCGTTGTTTTACCACATGAGGTTCAGCATCTGGTTCTTTCTGTGATTCAGTTTTGTCCTCTTGAAGAGCGCCAAATGTCTTGCCGTGACTCGACGATGCTTTCTCTGGCTGACAGGTTTCAGGTCTAAGTTTGATTTCTGGTTGCTGTGTTTTATCGTCTTCCTCTGCTACCTTTGCCTTCTTTTTAAAGACGCAACTGATGCAAAAGTCGGCCATCTTCATCCAGAGTTTCACTCTCTTCATTTGCAAGTGCCTCTGTCTCCCTCACCCAGGAGAGCAGAGCCTCCATTTGTCTACCAAGTGATTTCAGTTCAGCTTCTACGGCCTCCTGAGAGATGAGGATAACTCCCATCAGTTCCCAGTTTGCGCTCAACCCACCAGTTTTTTTTTTAATTGAACATTTATACATACACATGACAAAAAAATAAATCTGATAATTTTTTGTTGAACCTTGTATGAATCTCTGCGGTCTCGCAGGTTTTGCAGCATGTCCCCAGAAAGTGTTTTGGCCGCCTGGTACGCTCGAGTCAAGCTCTTCTGGTCCTTCTCCAAAGCTATAAGGAGCTGTGGAGGAACATCTCCGGGGTGGTGCATCAAGAGCATCTGGGCAGCCTTCACTTCTGTGGTGACCTCAGGCTCCAGCTCTCGCAGCTCCACTTCCAGATCCTGACAGTAAAATGCAAGTTAACAAATGACCGTCAGAGTGCAAAGCTAAGACAATACTGGATCATCGTCGTACAGGATTCACTCTATTATGACACAATTCTCTTCAACTACGACTCCCCATAATGATAACATACCCTTCACTGCGATTTTGTCCAATTACAATACGATACAAATCCAATTACTACACTTCCGATGCTATAGTATTGTGGAACTGATGTCTGACCTGTGTCTGCCTGATGATGTCATCCAAGGCGACGAGACTGCGTCCACCCGACTGCTGCTGCTGCTGCTTGAGTCTGACTTCCAGGTGTCTGACCATGGAGACAAGCGCTATGATCCTTTGGTCGCGCTCTAAGCACTCCTGATGCACTTGTGATGACTTTGGGAACAGAACAAAAATGGTGTGGAAATTGTAGAACTCGAAGAAAGCGACAATTTCTCACGTGCGCACTCCGAGAGAGAGTGTGTCGTGTTTTTTTTATTTGCACCACAAAAAAAACACTCGTGCCAAACGAAGCCCGCCGAAAGTAAGTTTCCATAGAAACAAGCAGACTAAAATGGCGGTCCTTAAAGGGACTGCAATTATTTCTACCCCGTTACCAAATAATCGTGAACTCTCTGACAAGCATATGAACATTGCATTCACACATTTGCAGTTGGTGGTGAATTATGTACATAGAAGTCACTACACGGGTGTAGAAATGTACTGCATCATACTGAGAGCTAAGTGTAATATTCGGACTGCCTTGTACTTGAATGAGGTCACTGTAATACTGCTCTGACCAGTCGGTGTGTATTTGAATTGGAACAGCTCAATGACCAACAGCATTGAGGAGTGAGGCACAATTTCCATTGCCTTCATGAAAGAGATGAACATAACGGCTCACCTTTCCATAGGTACCATTTCCCAGAACCTTCAGCAGCTCAAAGCACTCAAGTCCGATTTGTTCGGTTCCCTTGTTCACGCTCTTCTCGGAAATCTCAAATTTCTCACAGTCATCTTCTACGTTACTGGTAAAATAAAAATAAAAAAGGAGGGCGGGGCGGAGAAATTAAAAACAAATTACATTGCGGCAGAATTACCACTGGATATGTGCTAGGATTGGCTGGCGTTCCTTGCGGATAGAACAGGTAGACTAAAGTGCCTTTGCCTGGCTCGAAAGGTCATTACACTCATGTGAACACATTTTCTCAAATCTAGGTTAGTGATCCGATCAAATAATCTTACCTTTTAAATTAAAAAAAGCAAATAATAGCAAACAATGAACACGTTGTAATTCTTGCGCAGCTTTAATTATACAGGTTGAGGCATTTCCTTTTGTACCAGTTGATGCTCACGTTTCAAAACCGCTGCATCGGTCCACGTGTTTGCTGATCTGAACCTGAAAATAAAGAAAATAGGAACCCTTTCAGAAAATGTGAACATTTTTAAAAAGGCAAGGCAGGACTACGATGTGACTTTTCATGGGAGGATGGAAACTGGAAAACGTGCCTCGGGCTGAGCTGTGCACCATTTGTTTTGGTCTTTTGTGTGGAAACAGTAACAGTAGTCATATTATAGTCGTTCAGGGCAAAGAGTTGTTAGAAATAGTGTGTTGGTAAACTGTTTGCAGGAATGACAATGTTGACGTACCGAAACATTGATGACTTCATTTTTGTCAAATGTATATTCAAAGTTTAACTTGACAAGGTGCTAATAGTGCTCACCAGGTATACATGGATGCTCATATTTTGCACTGTAACTACTTTGTGTTGGGTGATGGGTGTCCTGGGGGTCAGGGACATGGGAGGGATGGATGAGTTTGTCTTTGTGTTGTGTTTTCAGTATGAAAGAGCAATATTAACAAAGATTTGATTGGATAGAATCATTATTTTATTTCTCATAAACTTGATGAACCATCTGTGATCTGGGCCAACGTACTTCTCTCATCACCCAATCTAGAGTGCAACTTTTCCAGTTTCCTACCTGACATTTGTCCATCCTTTTCCTTCACACTTTTATCAACATCAGCGTCATCCTTCTCAACAAACATGTCATGCACTTGAATTGATTCTCGAACCCAACTTTCAGGTGTGGCACCTTTTTGCCCATCTGTGCTCTGCTGACTTACTCGTGATTTGTCTGCAGCCGCGGGTTGAGGAATCCTTTCTGTCCCATCAATTTGCCGCACTGCCTTCTTCAGTAGCAGTTCTGGCTGCTGCAAGGCACAAAGAGCCTCGGTTTCAATGCAAATATTCTCTCTTTCACCATCATTGGCTTCTGCGACATACTGCACACTAGTTTCCTCCTCACTTGTTTGAACTCGTTCTTTTTTATCATCCTTCTGGTCCACTGTTTTCGAGTCAGTCAGCGGACCAACAACGTTATGCATACCCAGCATCTTCTCAAGTTTACCATCTGATTTTTTCCTGTCCTCTTCCATAACACTTTTGTTAACATTAGAGTCACATTCGTGAATCCACGCTGCGTCAAAACCTTCAGGTATGCTTTGTTTTTGTTCATCTGTGCTCTGTTGACTTTTCTGTAGTTTATCTGCATTCGTTGGTTCAGGAATCTTATCTGAGCTACCGATTTGCAATAGGGCCTCCTCCAACATCAGTTCTTGCTGCTCCATGGCAGAAGTAGCCTGCATTTCAAAGGTCAAAATGTTTTCTGTTTCTCCATCATTCCTCGCTACAACCTCCCCGATCTTACAGTCCTCGTCACTTGGTTTGACATGTTCTTCCTCATCAGATGTTCTGGAGTCAGTCGGTGGACAATCAAAGTCTTTGACCGACATAACTTTCGCATCACTGGATTTAGACAGCAACTTCTTAGGGATCCCATCTGACTTTGTTGTGTCTTCTTCATGAATGTCGTCATAATCTCTGTCACATGCAAGAATCGATTCTGGAACCAAACGTTCAGATGTACATCCTTTTTGTTCACTTGTGTTCATCTGTAACTCTTCTACCGTCTTTGGTTTCAGAATCTTCTTTGCTGTAGCAATCTGTGGTATGGCCTCCTCTAGGGCTTGCTGTATTCTCTTCTCAACATTTGCAGCAAAGTTACTCAAAAGGTCGATGGACAGATCTGACTCCAGTGGCTTGTCTACTTCGGTTATGACGTCAATGGATTCTGAAGAAGTCAAAGGTTCTACACTACCCCATGAAGGCATATCTGGGCTGTCTATGCTTCGTGATGAGGTGATAGCGGGTGCATCATCATCATCATCATCATTTTTTATCTTCAAAAGAGTCAATTTTTCCTTGATTTCTGAAGCCATGTCACTAGAAATCAGCCGCAAAGCAACTGCATCACTGAGATTCAAAACTTGCTGACCATTTGCTGGATTAACTAAACCGCCTTTCATAATCTGGTAAATGGCAATTTCTAAACTCATCTCCTCAGAGACTAAATCCTTTTCAGATGCTTCACGCAGAGGAAGTCTTTTGCCAGTGGTGATATCAACGATGCCACCACTGTCTGCTTGGCATTGGAGCAGTCTCAGAGCTGGAATTGGGTCAACTTGTTTTGCATATAAAGCTTCAGAAAGAGTCATGCGGCACTTTGTTTGTTTGTTCTCTATCCCACTGAATGGTTTCACTTCCAAAAATCGCTTGCCCGTCTCAATGTCTATCTTACCCTTTCTTACAAGGTCTGAGTAAGGCAAAATCAGAGCAGTTTGGGGGTCAAGCACCCCCTGCGCCGCTGTGCTTGAAGCCATAGCTTCATTTGCAACCTCCTCATCCAGAAGCCCCCGAATAACAGCCTCGCTCAATGTGACTCTACATCTTGACTGGGGGTCAAAAATTGCTCCAGTTGATGCTTGTAAAACGACAGCCTCCATGTTTGAGGAGCTGCCTTTACCTTGGTAAGCCCACTCGATCTCCTCCAAGCCGGGAGCGAGTGATCGATCCACAAGACCTCTGTCTACGGCATCAGACACTGACAGCCTCATTCCCGAAGCGTGATGGATTATCCCGCCCTCGGCCACCTGTCTAAGCAACACCTGAAATGCATGTGTGGAGTTTATTAAGCACTTCTCAATGGCTTGTTCCAAAGGAACAGGACACTCAGTCTCTGGGTCAATAACGCCTTCCATCTGTAGCTGTAAACCTGCTTTAGTGAGGGCTACTTCAGTCCCGCTCACTTTTCCTTGGTACGCCTTCTCAAGTGCAAGAAGTGTTTCTCTTTGATCGTCCTCTATCAGTCCAAGGTTTGAAGCCAAGGTAACGGAGACTTTCTTATCCCTATGGAGGTCCACTATACCTCCAGCCGCCACCTGGGCTTCGAGGAGTCGAGTTGCAGTGGTGCCATCAATCAAACCAGCCTGAGCTGCCTCCCTAACCCCACATATAAGATTTTTCTCCACATCCACGATGCCTGCAAGTGTTTTATCCGACTTTAGGACACTCCACATCAGTTCTTCATCCAGTAAACCTTCCTTCATGATGTCATCTATGCTCAGAGACTCACCGCTTTTAGCATCGAGGAAACCGCCAAATAATCCTATGTGAGCCATTAATTTGACCGCAGTGTGACCGGGAAGGATGCCCTGAGCAACCGCTTCGTCAGGGAGCAACTTTTCACCGTCTTCCGTCATCAGACCTCCCTCAGAGAGGTCATAGACCAACCTAGACAGTTCAGCATCATCATCTTCAGATGCAGATTCAGGGACATCAACAACAGGTTTGGCCAGCTTCGATTCAGACTCAGATTCAGCCCTTTCAGGTTTCCTCAAATGCTTTGAATTGGAATCTTCGTTTCCGGAACTTTTGAAAATGTTTTCCATGTTTTCCAGCTCGAGTGTTGTCTGCAGGAGATCGGATTCAGCTGCAAGCTCATCTTCTGTGTCATTTATAGATTTCTCGCTTAGACTTTCGAGCTTTTCTGTTGAAATCTCAAGACTAGATGTTCCTTTTTCTCCATTTATGCTTTTATCTCCGATAGTGTCTGATGATCTGTCAAAATTAATCTTCATAGTTCCCAAAGGCTCAGGTTTAGCTTTATAACTGTCTCCCTGCTCGTTTCTGCTTTTGGTCTCCAAGTATTTGGTTGGTGTGACTCGATTGAAAGTTCTGTCTTTTGACTCTGGTTCCCTGTCAATCTGTTTTTCCATCAAATTCATTGCGATGACATTATCTCAGTTCCCAAAGGTTTAGCTTTGTAACTGTCTCCCTGCTCGTTTCTGCTTTTGGGCTCCAAGTATTTGGTTGGTGTGACTCTATTGGAAGTTCTGTCTTTTGACTCTGGTTCCCTGTCAGTAATGTGTTTTTCCATCAAATTCATTGCGATGACATTATCTTTTTGTGTGGTCAGACTGACACAAGTCTCAACTTTGTCACTACTAGCCACGTGTCCAACCATTGACTGAATTGTGTTAACTAACTCCAGCAACTCGGGGTCAAACACCACAATGCGTTTTCCTGAGTGGGCGTCCACATAGCTGTGAGTCATGAGGTGGAAGAGCAACTTGTGTTTAGCTTGCTGGTTGGTATCCATCCCGTTTGCTGCTTTGGCATCCAACACCCGGCTGGCAGGAGAGGATGTTAAAGGTGCCGAGCTTGAAGAACCCCAACTCAGGCGGTTCAGAGATGGTGTGCCCGACGGGTTTATGTTGACGAGTACATCTGGCAAATGGATGCCTTTGAGAATATGGATGACACTGTGATCTAGAACTTCCTCAAAGGACAGCAACTGAAGAGTTTCTGAGTTGTATAGTGCTCCGACAGCATGACGCTGCCTGAGGATGTTTCGTGCCAGCTCCTCTGAGATAACTCCTTGCTGAAGAGCTTCCGAGATGGACAGGATTTCACCAGATTCAGGCCACAGCATTCCCATAAACGTCCAGAGTGATTCAAGGACCAAAAGAGACATACAAGTGGAGAGAAGGTCTCTGTCGACACTATTCTCCAAATCCAAACGTTCTCTAGTTACAGGGTCGAGAATCCCACCATTTTTGAGCTGTCGCACAAACAGGGAGCAAGCCAAGTCCTGGTCCATGAGTCCGTGACGAAGCGCCTCATGAATGGTCAGCCTGTGTCCAGATCGGGGGTCGACAATCCCACCAGCAAACAGCTGAGCTTCCAGGAGCCGCTTGGCCACTTCCCGATCGATCAGACCTTCTTCAATGGCACGGAAGATGCCAACTTTTCTATCGGAGCGGAGGCAGACACTTCCTCCAGGTTGCTGTTTGATAGGAAGCAGGAGAAGACCCGAGTTGTCATCTGGGATGCAGCGCCGAAGCAACTCGGTTAGGTTTACTGTCTCAGCTGTGTTTGGATCTATCAGCTCTCTGCGTTTAAGCCTAGACTCAAGCTTGGTCTGAAGGCTCCTGGATGACAAAAGCTTCAAGTCTTCTTCTCGCATTAGAATTTCGAGAATGCGAATTCCTGCCTTCTCTTGAATGAGTCCCGCCTCCACAGCTGACGATAACGCATGCACATTCAGTTGTTGGCCACCGGTTGCAGATTCCACCAAAAGCCAAGTGCTCTCCAGTTCTGAGAGGGACTGCCTGGTGTGAGCATCAATCAAACCTCTAGCAAAACTTTCATCGACAGAGAGGACGAGGGAGGGGTCAGGAGAGAGGAGCCCCCCTGTGGTGACAAGCTGGGCCTCCAGGAGAATACGAGTCGTGTCTTGGTCAATCAGACCCCGTTGGGCAGCTTGGAAGACTGGGAAGGTTTCCACACTTCCCAGGTCGATCACGCCAGCAATGCAAGGGGGCACCTACCAAAAGAATGAAATAAAATATGCTTTGCTCCCAGGATATACATTACATATACAGTATGCAGATATTTTATGTTATGTTATATATTTACAGATAGTATAGGTTTAAGAATTCCTGACAAAATAATATGCTATACTATATAATGCATTATAGCTACTTCCACTACTTCTATTAGGAGTATAGGTTTAAGAATTCCTGACAAAATAATGCATTATAGCTACTTCCACTACTTCTATTAGAATAAAATGTGAGTAATAATAATCATCATAATAAATTGGATTTAAATAGCACTTTAAAAAACCCAAACACGTATTTCATGTTTTGGGGCAAATTTTAGTTTTTATTCTGTTTCAAATGTAAAGTAAAATCTGCACAAAAATAAGCACAAAAACGAAAAACTGTTTTAGCGTATCTTTAGGCAACATAATAAAAGAAGCAAGCATTACTTACCAGCTGGTGGGAACACACGCCTAACGGGCAGAATGCAGTGCAGCACGGCGTGAGAAGCTGATGTTAGCGTTGTGCATGCCACTCTCCATCCTGACCCATCAACACTACATTGTTTTTTTGTTTTTTTTACTATACCATAAAGCCTGAAGATAAACTGAATGTGTAGGGTGAAACAAAAAGTACATCACCAATTTTGGCAGCACTACAGCTAAGGCACAAAGCACACAGGAAAATAGCTCAAAATTGCCAGTGATCCCCCTTGAATGAATGCTTTGCTATGAACAATAACGTCCACAACGCTCCTTTGTGGCCGCTTGCTGTTAGTGGTTGTTGTCAAGCAAAATGCTTGCTGAAGAGTGACACACTGTTAGAGAATTTCATTAGAACAAATAAAATCGGACAAACACACACGCAGCAATACTTGTGATCTGGACACAACATGCTAATGGTGAGATTGTTTTTGCATAGCTGGCCAATTTTGCACCAAACGCACACAACAACAAAGCAACACAATCAGATACATTTGTATCAGTGTATGCAATGTCAAAGAATAATATAACTTTTATGTTAATTGAGAGCTTACTGTATACCCACAGGGCACTTAATTAGGGACCCTTGCATGATGTAATAATGAGCTAGGCACAGGTTTAGCTCTGTTGTTCTATTGAAGGCCTGGTGTTATTAATGACATCAGCAGCCCGGCAGATGTGACTGGATGTGATGAGAATGACAACATGAATTCATGAAATGAGGTTGGTGGTGAAGTTAATGACACAAGTGCAGGCGATGGTACAATAAATGACATGACCATTTGTACACACGCAACATTGTGAACAAAACCACATGCAGTCACACACGCATACTCTTTGTGAGTGATGTGAAGCGTCAAAGTGACTTTTGCGCCCACCTTCCTCTCCTCCTCCCTGGCCAGTTGCTGCTCCAGCTGCTGCATCTGCTGCATGGAGGCCTCGCACATGTTCTGGTAAGTGGACGTCAGCTGGTCCAGCTGCGCCTCTACGTGGGCGCGCTCATCCGGGGACAGCCTGCGGACGGGCAGGGCGACGGGGTTGGACGGTGGAAACTGTGCGGGTGGACTTCGAGTGTGTGTGAAGGGACTTACTTGGCAGCTTGTTTGGAAAGGAGAAAGACCTGCGTGCTTCTGATGGCTTCGGCCACATCGTCTTTCTTGGCGGCAAGTTGCTCGCTGATGGCCTGTAGGATATAAAGAGTGTGAAATGATAATGTCTAACCGATATATATATCTTCTCTTGCTGACGGGGCATCTGAGATGGCCAGGCAACAGCAGCGGCTTTCTATTATCTCATCCGCGTTAAGGCTGAACAGTTAAAACATTGAAATTGACATTGCATTATCCGTGTCAGCAGTGTGAAATTGCATAATAAATTGCAATCGCAATATTGGGGGAGACAATTTGTAACTAATTTAAATCGCTCAACTCTAATACTTGTGCATCAGTCTTTAGGCCAATTAACCCACTTTTCCATTAGCGTAATCATTGGATGGAGTGTTAACCAATTAGTCATGCCTGGAAAGGTTTGTACAGCTGAGCTAACCAAATCTAATCATGTTTACCTGCTGCGCAGCAAGTGATGACTCAGCGTTGGGGCCTCCGGTCCGTCCCTGAAGACCTCCAATCCATGCCAGGAGGTCCGACACCTGGCCCACCCTGGCTTCCTTCTCCTCCTCCACCTCTTTCTACATGCGTGGGAGCAATAGTTATTATTTCCATCAAGAAGCTCGCTATTATAATATTCACTTAGTTTAGTTTTGTTATTTTTTTTTATGTGTAGGGTGAAACAAAAAGTACATAACCAATTTTGGCAGCACTACAGCTAAGGCACAAGCACACAGGAAAATAGCTCAAAAATGGCCAGTGATCCCCCTTGAATGAATGCTTTGCTATGAAATACATATTTCATGATTAAAATCTCACTTCTTCTTCTTCGAGTCGTCTGAGGGCGTCACTGATGTATTTGACATGTTGCGTAGTCAACGTGACCAATGCTGTGTAGCGTGTGCGCAGGTCCATGAACTGGACGGGGGGGGAAAAACTTCTGAAATGTATTCACATATGAACACAAATTTCAAATGAATGTGCTCAGACCTCCTGAGTGATGGCGTCAGAGGAAGAGTGCATCCTCCTCCTCTTCACCAGTGACTTGTGCATGGACTCCACGAAGGCTCTGAAAGTCATCAGCTGAAGCTCGTAATCCTGCAGAGAAAATCATTTTGAATTGACAAAGTGCTTTGGCATGAAAATGTCACACGGCGCCAATCACATCACCTTGTCAGAAAATAAACAGGTTGATGCATCAGTGACTGGGGAGGGATAAATTTTACATTGCGAGGAAATTACAATCTGAGCTGCATCTTGAGATCACCAATCACGGCTTTTACTTTCTTGAACCACAAATGTCAGGTTTTGTGTTCGTTTGCCATATTGACCCTTTGTCACAGTCACGAATTAAAATATCTACATACACTTTTTATATAAATAACTTGATAGCTTGTCTTATCCAATCACTGTGTCAACTACCAACACACTATACACACTGACCTTGACTGAGGTGCAGTAATGTTTGGAGTGAGCCTGGCAATCATCGAGTTTGGTCTGGTTGTCTTCGATCTCAGCGACCAAAGCCTATTACATAAGCAGTAACAAGTCCAAAATCATATCCACATGTATTAACATTGTTTAGACTCATTTTTTTAGTATCGTCAGACTGTGTGTGGACTGACCGTCTGCTGCGCCAGTTGCTCGGAGAGCGCCTTGCTGTCAGTGGTCCCAGCCGGTGTGTTCCCGCGCTCCATCTCGGGGTTGCGGTCCGGGTGGAGGACGGTGAGACGGGACGTCGCCTCTTTGGCCTGGAGGACGTCCGACTGAAGGGACTCGAAGACGCCCTCCTGCTCGGAGAGCTCGCACTGCCACTTCTACAAAGAAAGGGAAAAAAGCTGTTGATGTAGGTTGACTGTAAAATATCCATCTATCGACAGTGTAGCTATTCATCGATCAATTAATTACACTGTACAGGCTTCCAACACCTTACCCCCAATTGATCTCTTAGGCTTTGGATGGCTGCCGTGTCTGCAGGAAGGATGTCCTCTTCGCTCAGCCTGCTCTCGTACTTCTTGACCTGACTCTCCGCCTCTTCCAGGCAGCGCAGCAGCACGTCCACAGTTTTTAATCTGGCCAGGAAAACATACACAACACACGCGCACACTCAAAGTCTCTAATGGAATGAACTTCACGGAACTGCGTTTGAACTTGAGCGCACTGACTTTTGCAGAAAGACAGATGAGAGGTGGTGCAGCTTGTCCATCTTCTTCACGGCCTGGTTGAGCTCCGAGCGCATGGCGGGGACGCTTGAGAATGCAGGCTTCTCCTCCAAGAAGGCCACGCAGCTCTGAGACACGCCGCCCAGGTTAGAGCGAAGCGCGTCCAGTTCACACTCCAGTTTCTGGAAATAAGGGAATATATACATATATTTTTGGAAAAACACTGTTGTATTTAAAACGAAAATTTAATGAGAAAAAGTTTACGTAGAAATAAAAGGCGATAAGTATACCTTTTTTTTTTTTTTTTTTTTTTTTTTAAGAAAAAGATATTGACAAGAAGTGGAATTTGGGGGGAGAAAAATACCAGGAGAAAACTCTCAAAAGATTGTATTTGTTAAATAACGGTAACGTATTAATTGACTTATTTTTTAAAGAACTTAAGTTTTCATGTCACAATTAAAATACAAATTTAAGGAAAAACCCCAAGTGACCTCCTGTTCGGCTATCCTGACGGCATTATCTGCACTGTCATCCGAGAGCCGGCTCGGTGTCTGGATGGCGCTAATCAATCGCTGCTCGGCCTCGTTGAGACGCAGGGTGACGTTCTGCAGCTCCGACATGTACGAGCGAGACAGCGTCTCGTCTTTCTCCTCTGAAGACACACAAAAGCCGTAAGCATCAGTGGGCCTTCAGGGGAGATCTGCTTTGATTCAGCGCGCTCTCTCACCACTCTCCATGTTGAGCAAAAGGTCACGGCAGCGCTGCTCGGCTTGCCGGACGTCCGCCTCCAGCTCGCGCCGCTCGGCCGGCGTGAACAGTGCGCTTTCTCTGCTGTCAGACAGAAAGTCGGACAAGTGGGAGTCCAGGTGGTCCAGGACTCGCTGACGCTCTGAAGCGGACTGCCTGCGGACCTGAGGTCAAAGTTTTTAATGGTAAATTTAGCTGGCAACAGAAAGCAAAAGATATGAAGACTGACCGTGTCCAGATTCCATTCGGAGACGGTGCGGAGGTCTTTGAGGAGGTAGTGCCAGGAGACCACGCTCTTCATGTTGATGTGCATCTGGTGCCACAGCGACATAACTTGCTGGTACAACTGCTCTATCCTACAAGCACAGCAATCGATTGTCAATACATTAAAAATGAACAAATATGTATTTTTATTTGTAATTTTGCACCAATTAAATTATAGCAACATTTTTGCCTTTAAAAAAAAAAAGACAAAAATATTTCCTATGCTTATTGTGTGACTGAGAGACCCGAATGATTCACAGTGATGTTACTGAAGAAGAAGAGAGAAAAAAAAGAAAAAAAAAAGTTTGCAAAAAGCCTGCCGTGTGTGCCCACCTGCTGGCAGCATTGATGGTCTCCTGATTGGGCGGCGGCACGGTGAAGCAGACGGACGGCACCATGGCTTCGTTGCCCGTGGAACTGATCACCTTCCACTTGGTGCGCTGCCCGTTGTCCTCCAGCACGCATTCCTCGCCGCGGGTTATCGTGATCTGACAGCAGTCATCCCAGGACGGGAGGGAGGAGGCAAGAATGGAGCACGGGGTGATAAATTAGTTGGGAGTGAAAATGAGAATGGAGGCGGGAAAGGGGAAGAAACAAATGGACATTATTGAGTGTTCAGATGATTCAGAAAAAAATAATAATAGTAATTTAGTAGTGCAGTTAAATGTGTCAGTGATCCAAACAAATTAACATGCAGAATGTAAATCAAGACAACACAAAGCCAAATGATGATGACTGAATGAGTTTCACTGAGATGATGATAGGAAGGTGCACTAAACAACCCCATTCACAACTTCACACTTGGTCCAATTGATACAAATATGGATGATGGTCGATACCAATGTCGGCATTTACCTAAAAACTTTTTAGTTACCAAATTATATTCTGGAATGACAAATTAGCATCGAATTAATAATCCATCTTTTCTTAACATTTCAAAGCCATGAAAATCCATTCAAATTTAGCATATTGGATGACGCGTCATTTGCAATATTTAAAAGGTATTGGTATCGGCAATACTGGCTTTGTACTTTCTTGGATTAGGTTTGAAACCAACATTTCCAGTACCGAACAAATCAGATTGTCTTTATGATCTTGTTGATTTATTTAGAAACAATATCAGCCATACTGACCCCAGTATCACACACACCACAACCAGATTCCCTTTAACCTATTGTTAATTTATAGTACCGGCATCAGTAAATGGAATCTGTGATCTATTTAGTAATGGGTCAATACCAGATCTTGTAGTACTACACACCAATACCGGGTTCCCTTTAACATGTTATTGATTCGTTTATTGATTCGTATTTAGGAATTAGAATTGGTTTTGGTGACACTGGTCACAGTATTATTCACCACTATTGGATTCCTTTTTACATTTTGTTGATTTGTCATTAGTATTATACCAATTATTAACTTAGTGTCACATCAATACTAAATCTTGGGAGCATCATACACAACTAACAGATTTTGTGTAAAACTGGTGTATAGTATCAGTTTCGGTATCCACATTGCTGGACCGGTACTTGTTGTCAGATTGATATCAAATCTTGCAGTTTCAGTGTTATCAATCGTAGTGACACGGGTCCCGTATTGACTTTAGATCAAAACAACATCTTGTAGCCAAGCTCAAAGCCAAAGCCCAAGCAAGCAGATTGCGTTTGTTTGCGTAAGAATGACGCGACTTGAGTGAGCACAGAGCGAGGGAGGTGGAGCCAATCGTAGGCAATCAGTCAGACAAAATGGCCGCTCTACCTGAACGTTTGTCTTGACAGCCCGACGGACGAGTGAGGAGAAGGAAGAAGTGAAAAGGGAGGGAAAAAGATGAGGTGATGGAGAGAGAAGAAAACAAGATAAAGTGACGGAGAGAACTTGTGCTCATGTGCCAGATGACCATTTTCAAAAAAATAAGTGCGACTTTAAAAACAATAAACAAATGAGACATTATATTTCAATTCTGAGCACATGGTTGGTGCTAACAGAGTTAGCATTGAGCCAACTGTGCGGAGAGGATAGCTTATTTAGGGTGGAGGTGTAAAATAACAGTGTGCAGGTGGGAGGGGCCTACAGTGGTGAGCTGGTGGTCAGATATGTGCACAATTTGGGAATGTTGTCTTTTAAATTATTATTTTTTTAAAAAGGCTGTGTTTGCGGCTACCTCAATCTGTTTGTAGTCGCAGACAGCGTGGACGGGCATGGCCGCTGGCAGGTGGCTGTCGGGGCAGCGGGGGCGCAGCTGCACCAGTGTCTTGGCGCGGCCCACCAGGCTGGCCACCTTGCCGCGATGCTCGATCAGCTTCTCTTTCTCGTCCTGCAGGCAAGCAGGAAGAATTTAAATGCTGGTGTTGTTCTCATATTTTAACTCTTAACATATTATATCTGTCCATTTGTTCACCCTGAATGTCATAGCACATTGTTGCCATGACAACACAACAAAAAGTCATCAGAAAGAGCTACGTGTGTGTTTGTTTGTGTGTGTGTGTGTGTGTGTGTGTGTGTGTGTGTGTGTGTGTGTGTGAGAGACATATATAAATTAAAGAGTGTGAGGGTGGGTTAAGTTCATACCATGGAGTCCTGCAACAGATCCTCCAGCCTGCTGAGGCGGCTGTTTCGGTCGCAGGTGTACTGCCTCTTGATGCTCTCCTGCAGCTGCCTCAGGTACGATTCGCAGTCGCGCACATCGCTCATGAACTGGAAGTAGGCCGTGTTGTCTTTCAGATGCTGCTCCACACATAAGCAAAGCTGGTCCACCCACTGCCATTGCGTCTGCAACGCAGCACTGTACGCCTGCAGACATCATGACCAAAGGTCCGTTATGTACGGTTTTATTTTTTTTTTAACGAAGAGGAGGAAATGAGGAACCCGCTCATCCTCACCTCCAGAGTCTGCTTGGCGGGATGGTTTTCCTGACACAGGCGCAGCGCCATTTCCTGGAGGGACCGCATCACGCTGTGTTTCTCGTCTAGTTCGGACCGCAACTCCTGAACACATTGAAACCAGCCAACATTTATTAAAACAAAGCAAAAAAAAAAAAAACTTTACATGGCCCTCAATTCATTTTGGAAAAAAAAAATTGTTTATGGCGATTTTGATGGCGGCGCAGGCACCCGCAGCGGCTCCTCTCTCTCCTGAGGAATGTAATTTCATCTGTGCTGTATGTTGCACATGCAGCACATTTGACAATAAAGTTGACTTGACTTGAATGACATGGGACAAACATACTGTAGTATAATAATGAAATCTTTCAGCGAGATGATTTTTGTGAAAATGAGCATTAAAAAAAAAAAAACTTGTCTACTTCAAGTTGGTTTGCTGTTTTTAGGCAAAAGAGACCACAGAGCTGTTTCTACTATTTTTGACCCGAGTGTGTGTGTGTGTGTGTGTGTGCGCAGGGTGTGGCTTCTCTACTCACACTGTACATCTCCCGCTTGGCATCCATGTTGGTGTTGTTGTGGCTCCAGTCGAAGGCGATCTCGTCCTCCTCGCGCTCGTTCAGCCAGATCAGCTCCTCGGTGCACTCGCGCACCAGAGAATGAAGACTCTCGAGGCTGCGTAGCCGCCACGACGAGAGCTCCTAACGGCCGAGCGAACAACACGACGTCAGTGGGCAACACTCATACGTTTCATTTCAAACATACGCAGAAGCACAGACAGACATGTGCACATCCCCTTTACTGACCCGTAGTTTGCAGTACTGCTGCTCCAGTTTGGCCAGCGTCTCGCAGTAGTTGCTCCTGAAGTTGGTCGACACTTTGGCCTAAGACACAACATCGTCAGTGTTGTTTGCCTGATACTGTGGATTGTTTCTAACAGTCATGTTTACTTTAGTGTGAGCAAGTCCGTACCTCGTAGCTGCGAGCCTCCTGCAGGCCGCTCATCAGCTCCTCCACAGCGGCGTGCACACTATTATGTTCCTGCAGGTTGTTTTCCACCGAAGGAAGGTCCGCCCCCCATTCAGCTCCTTCCAAAAGCTCCTGAAGCACAAAAAAAGCAAAATTGCACCAGGGGTCCTGACTTCTCCTAAGGGGCGTCCGAACATGTGCCTAATCAAACCTGCGTCTCTTCCACCCATCCGAGAAGCTCGTAAATGAACCTCAGGCTGCCCTCGTCCTCTGACGAGGACATGGCCACCAGTTGGGAACGAGTCATCGGGCGGCGAAGAAGAGTAGCCTCTGCAGAACCGGCGGCCCCCAGCAGAGTCTGGCCTAGAGAGAACCCGGGGCCCTCGGCGGGGGCGCGCTGGCTGAGATGCTCGCCAATCGTGAAGTGACCTTTTCTGTACAGGCTGGAACAGTGAAGTCGGAGAGAGACCAGCTCTTCTTCAAGGCACGTCAATCTGCATGGGGACAACATACACACTTTTGATTTATTACCTCAACCAAGGACACGGAATGATTGTGTTGACTCATGATGCAACTAGTAAATAATGTGTACATCACACACACACACACACACACACACACACACACACACACACACACACACACACACACACACACACTTGAATCCTGATTGTGTCAATACACACAAGTCAGCATTATATTTTAAAATAATTTTAAAAAACGTACCCTGTCATATTTTTATTTCTACTTTAAATTGCAAGATTAATAAATAAACATCATGACAATAATTCTTGATATATTTTTCCCATTTTCCCCCCCAAATCGATTCTGGAGTCCAGTCATTCATGGAGATTATAATTTTGAATTAAATGTGCTAAACCAGATAGTGTAATTCCATTTAACAAAAGCAGACACGAGTATCTGTTAAATTTACTGACAGATTAAATCCAGAATAAATTCATAATCTGAACAAAACTCTGACCTATTACGATCCAAGATTGTATATTTGACTTGACAGAAGTTTAAGCTTTGGTGAGACGTGCACGCTCATGTGAACTGTGGAGCCACCTGAATGCGAGCTGCTCCACTTGGTAGTATTTTTCATTTTGGAGCATTTTGAGCTCCTGCTGCATCTGTGCCATCAGCGCCTCGCAGTTGTGCAAGTAGGAGGCCAGTTCGCTCTCGCACTGCACCGCCTCGCCGCTCTCAGACCGCGACATGTCCTGCGTCACACGGGATGCTTCAGCCAACACGGTCCATACTGGACGTCACATTAAAGATACGAGTACTCACGGCTTGTAACGTGTTCTTGGCCAGGGTGATCTTCTCTTCGCAGTCCAAGGCGAGGTTCTGGAACTTGTTCGCTCTCTGAAGCAGCAACTCCAGCCTGTAAGACATGAAAACAAACACTTTTATATATTGATTATTATATATGTGTGGTGGTTTTGAAAAATTTATTGCTTCTTGAAAAAAAATGCATCTTAAATCACAATTGCAATACAGTATTGAGGGAAAACAAAATAAAATCTTTTTTTTTTAATTAAAATAAAATTTGTCTGCTCGTTTCCCCAAGTAAATGCAACATCTTGCCATTCAACCACTGTATTTGGTCTCCAAAAGGCACATTCCTCCACAAAACATTACATTTTCCCTTTAAACCACAAAAGATTGTCACAAGTGACACATTTGAAACTGAAATTCAATATTATGCCATTAAAACTCGATATTTACCTGTCCACGGCAGGTCGGAGAACCTTCTCCCTCTCCAGCATCTCCAGGATGAGTTTGCCCCACTCCTCCTCCAAGTCGTTGGGGTGGAGGCCCGGAGGAAGCTTCACGCGGCCAAACTCCATCCACACCTTGTGACACATGCATACAAAGGTCAGTAAACACTCCAACGGACAAGATGATGACACATGACGAGGTAACAGGGGGTTTAGTAGGAATCATCATCTGTTGGCGCTAACAACGAGCTGCATTGTCAGTCTGCAAAAAGGCCGCGGGGGGAGGATGAACCACTCAACTCCACAAACGCACTTTATTACAAAAAAAATAAAAAAATATGCGGCCAAATGCACATTTTCCCAATTAAAAAAAAAAAGCTGTCTGCTTAGTAAAATATTAGATTTGATATGTTTGCAAATGATACAGATGCTTTCTTGTCATTTCAACAAAACTAAACGTACCAATATGGCCTTACTATTCCCCTTTAACATTGCTTGCCATTTACCTCCAGAAGTTTATAGAGGTGTTCCACGTGAGTTTTTTCCAGCTCTTTGGTGGGAACCTCCGTCTCCTTGAAGTGGATATACTCATTGTAAAGTGCCTGCAGGAGCACAAGAGACAAAAATCCAGAACTGATATCATTAACCGGTTCTTGTACGCTGTCGAGATGCATCACCTCAACAATATTTTCTTGGCAGCAATTGCTACTTTCTTATGACACGAGCCAAGGTTTTGGCATCATCTTATGTCATTCCAGAAAGACAAAAGTGATTTCTGTCAGGAAAAGGCTGAGGATAATTTCCAAAAATAAGGCTTCACCTTGAGTTCTACTGGATTCTGTGGAAAGTTCTTATTGGACATGATAGCCGTTTGCTGGCGGCTCCATTGGAGCAGAGACGAGAACTTGGACTGATATTCGGACCAGCGTTGATCCACCTCCTGAAATATTAAAAACAAGCACGTTATCATACACCGTTGGTGGTATTCAGCTTCAAAAAAAAAAAAAAAAAATGCCAACGAATGACGTTGATTAGGACGTACATGTGCGGCGATGCCCTCTCCTCCCTCTGGGATTTTGGGGAAGGCATCATAGATGGAGGACACATACGTGATGACTGATTTTTCATCTGGAACGGGAACATCCACATCTGGCAGGAGAGAGAAGAGCAACAACTTGAATAAAAAAAAATACTTGAGGATTTATAAAAGCGTCATGTGAATAGACAAGTAACAATCCCATTTCGGCTAAAACTTTCTTCAGATTGTTATATCGTCCCTAAAAAAAAAATTGAATTTAAAAAATATGTAAGAAAATAAAAATATTAGGGGGGTAAAAAAGGGATTTTGACCTGTGATAGGTGAGTTAGTATATAATCATTTAAAACACAAAATTCAGTAAATCATATTAAAAAATTCATGATAAAATGACTGCAAAATTAAGATTATATTAAATCAAAAATATTTTGAAAATGACAATTTCAAATGACATTTAAAAAAAAAAGGGAAAAAAAACTTATTTCTCCCAATAGGGGGAGTAGTCTCTCGGTGCACAGTAAAAGTCATAGGAAGTATTGTTTCAAAAAAATAACAAAATAATAAGAATGACCAAATAAATCCTTTCTGGTAGTGCATGAAAACAAATTAAATATTTCTTTGGTTGCTTGCGAGTTAAAATGTACAGTTTTATTGAAAGCCAAAACGTGATTCACTGTGCAACTGAGGAACTACTTTTCTTAACTAAAGAAATCACCCCAGTTAAGAAAATGTACTAAATGTTAGTTGCTACGTTCTTTCCGAGAAGCTTCTAGAAGGCTGTGAGGCTGTGTTTTAGCAACCCATCAGTGCAGTGACGAGTGAAAATATATCCTCACCCTCGGCGTCCAGCAGCCTTGTCACCCCTAGCGACTCGGCAATCTCAAAGGCGTGCTCTAAATTGTCACGGTTGCTCTGCTGTGAGACCGCCTCCATGTTGATCAGGTCGGGTCTGGTGAGGGAGGGGGATACAAACACACCCAACTGTGATAAAAATTATCGACACTGGCAAAAATTTTTTTCAAAAAATAGGAGCTATGGGGCATTGTGAGTGGGACACTTCGAAAAGTGAGAGCAACCTGTATCTGTGCAGCAGGGCGTTGAACATGCGTCCGTCGCTCCACGAGGAGGTGAAGTTGGCACAGCGGAGGCCTGGGTAGCCTTCGGTAGCCTGCTGGCTCCATAGCAGCAGCTTCTCTTTGGCGGTGAGGTCACCCGACTCACCGCACACGTAAATCTCGGAAATCTGTGTTGGGAGTATGAAGATTGGCACTTGAGAAGAAGAATATCCAGTTACATAAAAAACTCTTGACTAGAGAGAGCAACTTCATTCTCATGCTCATTAATCAATATTTTAAGCACGGATAAATCGTGGTTTGCTGCGACTGCTCATCTAAAACCTGCATCTCATCAAGAGAACCGTGAAAGAAAAAATGTACAGACACAGCAGTGACTCAGCAAAGTGCACCTAGCATCTACCTGGCAGCTATGCAGCACATTTCTGCATCACCTGATTGCCGCAGCTCCTAACAATGGCGCACAGCGTAATAGAGATTATTTCAATACAAATAGCACAATACAAAAAGGTAACAAAGACACAAATAATGAGCAAGGAAGTGAGAAGGTGGAAAAGGCAAAATGCTCTGTGCTGCCTTGATTAGACTCTTGGGACAGAGGCAGGAAACAAGGCCACTCTGCCTGATAACACACACAACAGTGCATTATTAGAAGCCCTTGAGTAGTACAAGAACAGTCACCCACTCTGAAGTCTGTGTGAGAAACATGCAAATATATTTCAATGTACGCAGCGTCATTTGGAGGATCGCAGTTCCTCACCCGACAGGCAAGTAAACTAATACTTGGGCTAACGCGCCTTATGTGCGCTCACCTTACATTTGAGGTGACCATGCGATTGGCATGCCAGTGTACCCGTTAAAGTACAAGTGTTGAATAAAAATCAACCTATCAGCGCAGTAGTGGTTGGGATTTTAGGTGGTGACACATTCATTCCATCGCCCTTTTTACTGTACTTGCTTATGTTTAAGGCGAACTAGTACAAGCCCTTGCAACCTCAAAAGTAAGAAGAATCTAAATAAATCCATCAACATTCTGTTTTTTGTAGGATTTAAACTCCTCCAGAAATAGTTCTTTCCAAAAAAAGAAGTTGTCTCAGTAACTTCAGAGTGGTTAAAAAGATCCGAGCTGACCTGCGGCAGGTGTCGATCAGCAGCCTGTTGCTGCTGCAATGTTTGCGGACTTTCCGCCATCGCGTCCAATCTCTCCGAAGAGCAACTGGTTAGCTTCTGCCAGTCCACCTGGCTGGGAGTGGTGACGGCCGTTTCTGGCGAGGTCAGTGGGAGGTCACTGGCATAGCCCGACTCCAAGAGAGAGCATCTCTCCTGCGTTTCCAAGCTAAATCCTTCGCCGGCGAGATTGTCGGGCATCCAGGTTTCATTGAAGGCATCCTCTTCCGTGTCTCCTTCGCCCTCCGATAGTTGGACTTTGAGAATATTTCCGGTCACCGGAAAAGGAGCAGAGGGCTCTTTGCGCACTTCCACTTGACGGTCACACTCACCCTTCCATACTGGAGAGCCATAGTCACTGGGGTACACTGTCCTCACCACGCAGAGCTTACCATCCACCTCTCTGATGTGGACCACACCATTGTGCTCTCCAAAAGAAGGCCTCACCTCTAATGTCCCCGCTGCCCGTCGTTTCATCCGTTCACTCCCAGTCCGCTCACATTTATTGGCTCGGTCTTCTTCAAGCATGCAAGGTTTTTCCACGACCCCGTGGACTTTCTCACGAACGCGGCAGATCCTACCCCCTCCAGGGGTGGTGGTACTGCCCGGAGGTGGTGCAGCATAGATCGGGCTCGTGGTGGTGGTTTGACTGGGGATGCTGGAGACGTCAACGACAGACCTAGCAGCGGCTTCCTCCCCGGGGAGGCAGAAAATTCCTCTCCAGGCCGGACTGAGTTTGGGGGTATGCTGAACTTGGGGAATACTTGGGTCTAGGAGGCTACTGGTAGGAGAATATGCAGATCCTGGGGAAAGCATACTGTGATGTTTCAAGGCGGGCAACATTCGATGAGAGCTTGGCCCACTGCTCGAGTCCCAAGTCCTTTCAAAAGAAAGCTTCGTCTCGATAACTTGAGGCTCATCATCATTCCTGTTTTTCCGTCCTTTGCGCCGTCGCCTGAAACGTAATCGCTTCTTGGTTGACAGCGGAGGGCCTCCGACAGGTTCCGAGTCTGGTGGAGGCCTGACACAACCCAGCGAGTTCCCCATCTTCTCGTCGTCAGTCGCGGCGGAGAAAATACTTTTCAAACTGTGTCGCGGCAAAATCCCATGAAATTATACTCTTGGGAGAAAGGAAGGAGGGTCGGTATTACGCACAACAAAGTGAGAAAACAGGGATCCCATTTAAGACGACCTGACAAAGAACATGGATGCGTTCTCTCTGGGAAAGAACCTCTTCAGCCAATAAATGATTCAGTTGCAGCTTCACCCCCACCCTGCTACATTTTTAACTCTCTCTTACATGGTCATCGAGTCAGAGTACCTGTGCTCTCAAGCTGCAGTCAGAGACCGAGTATACACAAGGGAACTGCTCAATTTTTTTCTTTATTTTACTTCCCGGAACACTTCTGTGACGCTTCAAGGACACGGACAACAGAAACATGCGGAGGATAAAGGAAAATCTGCGGGGGATTTCAGCGAGTGATTTATCAAAAGGGCGACTTGGCAAACGAGGTGATAAACGGCATGTGACCCATATGTCATCAGAAAAGTGCAGCATCATCCAGGGAGTCAAAGCATTACGAGGACCCGCAACATTTCAAAGTGTTCTTCCTTGCTCATGACCCTTGGATAACATGTTGCAAGTCCTTGAATTAATGATTGCCCCCCCCCCACCCCCCCTTTTACTGCAGAAGCGTAGGTCGTCCCTGGGGGGAATTCCAATCCGGTAGGCTTAGCGGAAGAGGTATTAAAAGGCGATGCAGTCGATGTCTCGCGTCGTGAATGAAAGCTCTGATTTCCGAGTGCATCGCATCTGGATTGGTTGTGAGGGAGACACACAGAGCGCAGCCAGCCAATGTCGACGCAGAATGCAGCCCGGCTCGGCCTATCTTTTCACGGATTGCTGGAGAGTTGGGCATCAGCTTCAAGCAGTCACGTGAGCTGCCGGTTTTACAGGCGTCAAAACATCGCAGCAACTAATTCCTGCCGGGCATGTTCCTATGGAATCATCTCTGCTTGACATAAACTGCAGAGAAACAACCCCAGGCACCGCTCTGAAGACCGACGCCATCCATGTCAAGAAGTATCATTCGGTCAAGCAGCAAGAATTACTTCCGGCCATAAAGATTTGTCAATGTGCCAGGAAAGCCTCCATCAGGTGGCGCAGTGCGACGGCACAATAAATCCAGAGTTTGGGGAGGAGGACGAGCCTTGATCTGTCCTTACGGCCCGGAGGGGAGGTTTATTTGTGGTAACAGCCCCTCGCTGCATCTAATTATGAGGAGGCATCGGGATAGAAGTCATGTCGCTGAGATAATCCAGATTCGGTGAACAAGACTTAAAAGCAGATATTCCGCATCCGTTGTAGGGAAGTCTGGAAGTTCACCCCATTCACAGGGCGTCACCTCCTCAAGACAAGCTAGTTCCAAGCGACGTGATGGTGTCACTGCCTGATGTTTTGTGCCGTCACCTCCTCCTCCTGCATTCAAGGCTGTTTTTCGGCCTCCTGTAGCTCCAATGCCAGAATCTCGCCTGGATGTGTCTCCCCCCCCACCACCACCTCGCCTGGTTCCCACCGCCTGCTTGCTTGCGTTATCCCTCGCTAGCTCACCAGCAGAGGAAAAGCTTTTTTTTTTTCTCTCTTCTTTCTTTTTTATCTCCCGGCTGCTGCTGCAGCTTCCTTTCTCGCTCTCTTCTCCTCTCTGTCACTTTCTCACATACAAACCAACCCTCCCTCTCTCTCTTGCTCGCTCACACGGCTCTCATCCTCCTCCTCTTTTCCACTTCCTTGTTGCTGCTCTCTCACTTGTCCTCGCTCGTTCATTTAACCGTTAGCGGACCAAACGCGCATGCTGGAGCCGAATGGTACAATGAACCAAAAATGAGCATCCGCGCGACCTCTCGCATGCTAACTCTGACATATTTGATGATATAAAGGAGAAAGCACAGTACATATATGGTTCTCTATATTTCGCAGAGATGCAGTGGGTCTGGAAGCATCGATTCACTGTACTCCATTTTGTCTTCTTTCAAGGGCCAGATTAAGGCTTTGAATAACACACTTTTGCTCATTCGACACGTGACTCATTGAATCAGTGACTGGCACTAAGAGGATTGGTTGCGCTGGCGCAACATTCTCAGGTCAAGTTAAGTAGCAACGATCTGTCAAAAAGCACCAAAAGCAATAGAGATAGAGGAGAGTGAAACACACATGAGGAAAAACAGAGCTGATTGATTCCTGAGGCTTTCACTTCAGTGCCATTAGCTATGCTAGTAGCTTTGCTGACACACACACCCACACTGATCAATTATTGAGATGCTATTTTGGCAATAATGAAGACTGATGCACATTGTAGCCTTTCATTTGTATTTCAAATGGGTCCAAAATGTGACGCTATTGTGTATGAGAAGGCTGCACTGGTGACAATGAAGTCATGAGTCATCATTCCGGCTTGTGACCTTACGAATATTCATTTGGAAGATGAAACGTGATTGGCAAAGTTGTTTTTCGCACTTCTTTGTGAGCGCTACAATGTGGTTCTTTTCTCCTTTGAATTAGAGATAATTTATTTTAATTTAATGTGTCTTTTAACCACTAAACATGCAGCACCTAAAGCACATTGACCCGTGAACAATATTCCGCACACCAAAGAAACAAAGTGAAGGAGGAGTCCTCATTTTTTAACCTGATTCTTAAGTGGAATATTACAAGCACCAGCTACGACCCACATGTTTTTATAATTAGCTTGCTACCCAAGCGCTGTTCATACTTTCCATGACCGGACTGGCAATCGTGGTGCAAGCTAAATGTAAGCCTCCTCTGTGGTCTCCCTCCCCTCCAAGTGTACGACACACACACACACACACACACACACACACACACACACACACACACACACACACACACATACAAAACACACACACAAATACGCTGAGTCACGTTCATGCCATTGCTTTGCCAGGGTGTTTCTGCAGCAACGTGGCCGCTATCATTCACCTTCATGCTTTCAATGTCTGGACAGTGAGGCCACTGAGGAGCTTCGGGGAAAAAGACTACAAGCACTAGTTGTGCGTGGGCTCCCTCTGGTGGTATACGAAGGTACAATTCTGCTGTATTGATGTTTTTAAAGCACAATGCATTTGGATATAGCCTTTAAAAATGTCTTGTTTTTAAACATAATTGTGTACATTATCCTATGTTAATGTATAATATATTTCAGTTCCATCACGATTAAATTAATGATGATACAATGGCTTACAGTTAAGAATATGTTTTTTTTGGTATAAACATTCCAGATAGTGTGCAAGATGAAAACAGTAAAAGGTGACCTGGTGTCAGTTTTCCTCAGGTGGTTTTTAAATATTAAGTTTGCCTGAATAAACATTATTCTTATTTGTCATATTAAACAAGCCTTTTTTATTGGCTACATCTTAGTGGATTTCTAAGGCTCCAAAAAGCACATTTTTCAAAAATAATCTAATTATAAAGTCATCATAAGCGACCATTATGAGAAATGATGAGATCTGTATGTCATTAATGCGATTAAGTCTTTTAACATCATCAAGCACATGTTAATGAATCGAGCCAGCACAGGAAGGCCAAAAGAGTCAGCACAGACCTGGAAGTGGAGGATGATGGTCCAGATGAGACCCAGTGTAAGTTTGGGGTTTCCGTCGGTGATGTCATCATTTCTGATGTTGACAAGTTTAACCTGGAGGCAAGTAAGAAAAGACCGTTAAAAAGTCTCCTGTGTGTAAAGACTTTGAAGACCGTGAGGAGGAGACGACCAAGTACTTGTCTTTGTTTTAGGAAGTCCAGGGCTATTTGGACATTCTGCAGTCGATGAAATCTCATGCGGCCTTTCTCTCTGGGCTGGAGCACACAAAGGAAGGTCAAAAATGAGAGTACGGAAGGAACAAATGTACTGAAGAAGGGAAAGAATTGAGTTGTTTTAGTGTGCAACTGAAGCAGAGTGCACGTGAAAGCTTCGATGCTGTGGAAAGAGTTAAAAAGACATGCGGACTGCAACAACCGCACGTAGGTCAAAACATGTTCTTGATTAGAAGGTGACAAAAGCTAAATTAACACAAGATTAGTCAACCCGCGTGCATCAGATGAGTACTTTCCATTCCTAGCTTTTTTTTTTTTTTTATCCTGAAGCCAGTGGGCAACAGTAGTTTATATCGAAATCAGAACCATTTCAATTTGTCTTACAATAAATCAAAAGGTTTCTTAAAATGAAAGTCATGAAATACAATATTTAAAAAAAAGATCAATAAATAATGACCATCTGTTAAATATAATCAGTGATCAAATGTCACCACTTTCGATAGTGATAGTTATCAGCTCAGTCTACCACAATAATATTGGTCTCTCTTTGCGGAGGATAAAAAATATATACCAGTATTTTTACATTACACGCCTTTTGCATTATTTCATAGCATGAAGCTAAGCGGACTTTATTCAGCAATGTGGTTCTTTGATACGCACAATGCTAAATTCTCTTTGCTTTTGTTTAGCTTGTTAACTAAAATGAAAAAAAGTTGGGTGACTGTTATGTGAAGGCACCAGTGTACGTGCAAGTGATCAAAAATAATGAGGCTTTCCGAATGAGAGGTTAAATTCAGCTTTTATCCTAATTGTGATTCCTTGCGTCATTCAAGTGGCGCTTCGTGATATGCCGCTGGCTGTTATCCACACTCATGCAGCCCCACAGCGCCGCCTAGAGGGCGGCAACCAGAGGCAATCGTTACGTACTCCCTGAGCTCCTTCCTCCTCATTATCATCATCATCACCATCCTCCACCGCAAGCAGGATGAGAGGAGGCGCACGCAAGGGGAACGCCCTTTTCAGGAATGGGGTGCTTCTGGGTTGCTACGGTAACAGCAAGGGGGTAAAGGAGAGGGGAATGGGGGATGAAATGAAAAGGAGGGGAGAGGATGAAGGAACAATTGATTCGGAAGCAGATGGTGGTTTGACATCAGCACCCTGGATGCGACTGATGTCAACATCTTAACAGCAACGAGGTATGATGGGAAGCAAAGAGTCACCTGACCGCTCAGCATCTTCGAGACGCAACCTGATTTACTCAGCATGATCTCACTCAGAGATCACAGGGAAGCAAGAGGCAAATGTGCCTGAGAGCTTCAGGCAGTGTGAGAGTAGAAGAGTGTCAAGAGTGGGTAGGAGAGACAAGAGTGAGATAATATGGGACTGAAAGTACAGAGAGTAGTTTATGAGAGAGTATGCGAGAGTGAGGCTTTGACAGTGAGAGAGCGACAGTGTGAGACCAATAAAAGTGACAGTGTTAGAGCGTGAGAGAAAGAGTAGGAGAGTAAAAGCGGAAAAAGATAAGATAAGAAAACCTTTATTAGTCTCGCGGGTGTGAGATGATGAGAAAGCATGAGAATAAGAGTGAACGTGATGAGGAGAGTGACAAATTATGAGAATAAATGAGAGAGCATGAGAGGTCATGAGTGAGCAGTTGGAACATGAGAATGAGAGTGAGCTTTAAGGTATGAGAAAGGGTAGTGTGTGTGAGTGTGATAAGGGCGAAAGTATTGTGAGTGAATATATATGGACGTGGCTGAACGAGACTGTCTGAGAGTAAATGATTGTATAAGAGTGTGCGAGAGTGTATTCAGACTATGACATGAATGTGAGAGGGGAAACATTGAGTAAAAGCGTGACTGTTTGCAATTGAGTGCGAAATGGTTCGGAGAGACCGTATGGAGTGTGACACCACGAGAGAGTATGAGAGTGACACTGAGACTACAGGCGTGTCTGACAGCGAGAATACAAGTAGTGAGAGAGTATGAGAAAGTGAAAGAGAAGTGTGTGTGCGTGTGTGTGATGCCTACCAGGGTGACGCCAGAGAGAACCTCCAGCAAGGAATCTTAACAGCAACGAGGTATGATGGGAAGCAAAGAGTCACCTGACCGCTCAGCATCTTCGAGACGCAACCTGATTTACTCAGCATGATCTCACTCAGAGATCACAGGGAAGCAAGAGGCAAATGTGCCTGAGAGCTTCAGGCAGTGTGAGAGTAGAAGAGTGTCAAGAGTGGGTAGGAGAGACAAGAGTGAGATAATATGGGACTGAAAGTACAGAGAGTAGTTTATGAGAGAGTATGCGAGAGTGAGGCTTTGACAGTGAGAGAGCGACAGTGTGAGACCAATAAAAGTGACAGTGTTAGAGCGTGAGAGAAAGAGTAGGAGAGTAAAAGCGGAAAAAGATAAGATAAGAAAACCTTTATTAGTCTCGCGGGTGTGAGATGATGAGAAAGCATGAGAATAAGAGTGAACGTGATGAGGAGAGTGACAAATTATGAGAATAAATGAGAGAGCATGAGAGGTCATGAGTGAGCAGTTGGAACATGAGAATGAGAGTGAGCTTTAAGGTATGAGAAAGGGTAGTGTGTGTGAGTGTGATAAGGGCGAAAGTATTGTGAGTGAATATATATGGACGTGGCTGAACGAGACTGTCTGAGAGTAAATGATTGTATAAGAGTGTGCGAGAGTGTATTCAGACTATGACATGAATGTGAGAGGGGAAACATTGAGTAAAAGCGTGACTGTTTGCAATTGAGTGCGAAATGGTTCGGAGAGACCGTATGGAGTGTGACACCACGAGAGAGTATGAGAGTGACACTGAGACTACAGGCGTGTCTGACAGCGAGAATACAAGTAGTGAGAGAGTATGAGAAAGTGAAAGAGAAGTGTGTGTGCGTGTGTGTGATGCCTACCAGGGTGACGCCAGAGAGAACCTCCAGCAAGGAGATGAGGTTGTGCCCATCTCTCAGGTCCTCATAGAGGTCAGTGATGTGCTTCCTCACCTGCATGAATGAGAGGACGTAAGGCAAGGGCGAGGAATATTGCACTGCTACTCCTAGTCGTCATTTATAACCTAAATTTGAATATTTCTTCCTTGGAATTCTATTAATTTCATTCCCAACCATCTGTTCAATTACCAAAGTCCCGTGAAGGCCCAGAAACCGAAACCAGAGTCTGGAAGATGAGATCATTCAAGTCAGTCCAAGTCAAGCCGTTATGCCGCGACGCGCTGCCAGGGAAACTTCAAAATAAAAGCATCTAGGCGTTGATGGCCATATATTATTTGGTAAAGTAAGGTTTCTTTTGCAGTTGGCCTTGTTACCAAGGAGTTGGTGGCATGCTACGGTCATGTACAGCATAAACAATTGTTGATGTGGTTTGCTTGACTCCTCCTTGGCAGTGAACACATAAATAAGGGGTACTCCAAGCAGAGAAGTAACTCAGGCATTTATTAGGGTGTGGGTGGTTGTACGGAGTTAGACTTGTTTCAGCCCTAAACTCCACTTTGTTGTTGATAATAAGGTGAAAGGAATTTTATAGCCAGGACTGACAGTATAATGCCGGCAATCCCAGACATCATTGCAGCTAACAAAAGCGGACGATTTTTAAGACGTGCCACTTGACATTCAAACGGATACGACGATCTCTTTATGGCTTTGTGCAAATGTTATTTCTGTGTCTGTTGTCACTTTTATGAGCTCGGATTAGTCACTCTGCGGTCAAATCATTCTAGTAGGACTGAAACTATTTTCTCAACACCATCTACTGGATTGGTGTGTGTGCGCATACCAGAAGAATAGCTTTGAGTGTGTACACTACACACACACACACCTGTGCAGCCGAAACAGTCAATTCAAAGTGTGTGTGTTTACAACGCGCTGAGCAAACCGAGAGGATGATGTCACTCAGCAGGACGGTGGAGGCCGGCCAGCTTTCTTCACTCTTTAGCGCTTTGTTGGCATCAACTTGTGGAGTCTTTGAATGAGTTTCTGCAGACTTTTGATATTGGCGTATTTTATTTAGTCTTCGCAATGCTTTTGAATTACCCATAGTAGAAGTATTTTGGGGGGGCAAAATAAGGTCAAAAGGTAAAAAACGTCCAATCAGCTGCTCAGCAATGCCACAAGGGGGCATGTTTGCACATGATGTGGAGGATCCTAGTTCAGGACTGCATTCATCCCAGGCCCCAAAAAATTTTGATTTAATGATTTATTTACAACATATGTATTTATTTGATTGATTTTTATTTCATTTTTATTTTTTTGCTGGGCCCCCTCTAAGGTTGTTTTTTTTTTTTTTTTTTTTAAATACAAAACCTTTACTGGCAGTTTTATTCATGCATTTACTTTTGACATATACCTTTTTTTAATGTTAGTTGTATTTAAGTTTAGTTGCAAGTTATTGATATATCGATTTTAAGTGGATTTTATTAATTTATAATAACATACATAATTCAGAAATTTGATGGATTTTACCATTTTTTGCTGTATAACTTAAATATTAAAAAAAAACAATTTTAATTAATTTGTTTCGTTACATACTTCAGAATTTACCTTTATTTATTCCTTTGAAATATATATTTTTATTACTTTTACTGTATCTGTATCCATAAGTCACATCCTGCATACATGTCTTTAATTTTCCTGCCTAGTAAATGTACTGAGACACTCAACTTATCATTTATTTACATTTTCTTCCTCTTTTTAGTGCATAAAGCCTGACTATACAGCATATAGATATTTTAAATGCATAGCATCCCAGCACTTCTTTACTCCAAAAATGCTCTTCAGTGATTTGTGACCTACATTTTGCACACTGCTGGTACAGAGTCACATGTGCGAGCAGCCGCTGTCAGCGCAGTTGCCTCACAGTTTACAGTTACGGGGTCAGACAGACACCTTGTTCCTCAGTCGTGTAACAATGATGCCCTGCTTTCCATTCCTCACTAACCCCGTGTGTGTGTGTGTGTGTGTGTGTGTGTGTGTGTGTGTGTGTGTGTGTGTGTGTGTGTGTGTGTGTGCGCGCGCGCGCTTGTGCAACGCAGACTACACAGCCACCCAGTTGAATTCACAGCTGCGGCACCAACGGCACCGCATGCCATGATGTGCTACTACCACCAGCTGTTGGTATCATTGAAAATGTTTAGAATCGCCTATACGGTGGGGTTTGCTTTTTGAACTTTTTGTTTTTAAATAAGAAAAATGGTGCTCTATAAAACTGAATGACTTTACCTTGATGAGATGCTTGTTGACCCACTTTGTGAAAGTCTTCTTCTGAACTCTGTCACGCTCGTCTGCGGGGAATCGAGAGAGAGAAAGGAGTTAATGACAGCATCCAAAAATATTCACTTTCATTTTCATCGTGACGGATTTCCCCTCGGTCGACACACACACACTTTTCCAGTAAATTTGCAGGATTTGGAAAGAGCTAGCATTGTGGCTAATGGACAATAATTGTTTTTGTTCCCACGATTGAATAGCACATCGTCGTGTGTGTGTGCTGCAAAGTTATACATTAGACACATGCACAACATGAGGTTAGCTGTCCATTAGTGACCACTAATAAATTAGTCAGCTTTTAAGCTTCTGACCTCAGCCACGGAAATTTTGTGAATTAATTGGTTTGTGAGGGGATGGATGAAACAAAGTAGTACGATATATATTTCATCTCTCTGTATGAATACTTTCATTTCCTGTCTAACTCTCTTTGGGGTTATCTGTTTCTTTATATGAGCTTTGAAAAACGTGATTAATGCCTCGTACATGTACTTTCAGAGACATACACTTTGTATGTGTAATATTACACACACACACACACACACACACACACACACACACACACACACACACACACACACACACACACACACACAAACTGTGAAGGGGTACAATTTTGCCTTTGCTCTAACTGTCTCAGACTAAATGGCTAAAACCTGTGGGGTTCCCCAGGGGTCAATCCTGAGACCGCTATTGTTCAATCAGTAAATGCCTCCATTAGTCCAGCTAATTTGGAGATCAGTGTGAGGATGTAAAACAACCGTGAAAGTGTACAGTTTCCCACTGATCCAAATTAGGGCCTTGGCGGAGGTCTGCGTTGTTTTGTCTCAATTGTCAATCGTGTTCCAAGACACCCATCGTGTTCCAGAGGGGTGATGCATTTGTTCTGGGAATAGAGGCTGATGCTGGGCCACCAATGTCTTATCTCCTCCCTCCTGTCTCCCACCACAAACAACCACTCACACGCACACACGCACGCACACACTGCTGGAAACAATCTTCGTCTCCTCCATCTCCATGTGACATCATTCCACTTGGGAGAGACTCATGTACTCGCATTTCTTCCTTGCGTGTGTGCAACACCTTGTTTTGAAAATATATTTGAGTCTACTTTGGACCGTTGTCCAATTAAGTCACCAAAATCTGACTTTTTGGAAAAAGTGAGGACTTTCGATACTCGGGAAAAACAGAAATGAGTTTTACATATACAGTGGTACATTGACTTCCAAACTGAGTCTCCTACTTAAAAAGAAAATATTGTACAATGTTTCCATGCTTGGCTTGAGGAGTGCAACAGCATGGAAACAACAAGACTCAGTTGGCCTAACAGGTGTTTAGCTGTTGCCACGGAGACAGAGTGCCAAGCCACGTGGAGACGAACGTTATCATTTCCTGCACGAGCACGCACACACTTAATACATTCAACTGCTCCTAAAGTAGAAAGGATTTCTGACCAGGATGTTGGATTGAGGACTAAGTACTGTATGTTCAATATCTCGACTGTACCAGAGTTAATTAAGGGATGCATGCACAAACGCACACGGAATAGATTTTACAATAGAAGCAGGAAGGCAAAGTGAGCGTATTTCAACAGGCACTTGCGACATAGTTTCACGACACTGCAACAACACGTCTTGCTTCCCAAACCTGCTGCCCGGGTGGCTCAGCTGAGAGCAAATATGCTTTAAATGCATTTTCTCTCTCACACATGCACACTCAGACATGCACACACACAATGTAATCATAAAGTGAATAAATATCATGAAATGGATAACTGTGTGTGTATACTACATCATAGTGTGGAGGTAACTGGCACATATTGGCACTCATTCAGGATACAATAGAGTAGTATTGTTGACACCCACATTCAGTCTCTCTCTCTCTCTCATACTCTCACACATGCATACACAAGCACTCGCCAACAAACATAGACAGTGTCACACACAGACTCAAATACACACAAAAACACTGAATTTCTCACACACTGTCACACACGCATTAATTCTCACACAAACATCATACAGTCACTCATGAAAACTCACTCGTGCAACACAAGCGCATGCACCCTCACACGCAAATGCAGACACACAGTAATCTCTCTCTCTCATACACGCTTTTAGAAACACACATAGGTGCTCATGAAAGCACACGATGAATTCTCACCCTCATGCACTCTCACATGCTAACTTTCTTGAATACTCACCCTCGCTCATAAACGCAGGCACACACACCTACACACACGCGCTGTCAATCACTTCAACACACACTGATAAGACATCCTACCACCCGCAGACTGACCTGCACAGCACATGCGCGAGTACAGGTGCGCGTTGAGGTGAGATTCATTCCTGTAGTCAGGCCACATAGTCTCTAAAAGCGTGTCCACAAGATGTCCTAATCCGCCCCCTGGCCGGCACCCGGTAAATCCCCCTTAGCCGTCCTCTCCCGCCATGTCGCCCCGGCCCATCGGCTCTGTGCTTCCGTTTCGTTCTTCACACGTGTTGTGTCAGAGTGCCTCCTCTGCTAAGGCCCCTCCTCTCAGCTCACTGACTTCACTGTCCCCGCCTTCCTTTCCTCACCAGAGATCAGCTGGCCGAGGCTCTGCAGGGCGCTTCATCATTGCGCCTCACTCTACGACACTAACTAAGTCCTATTTTTACACCGGCTGTCAGCTTTTAAGTCTCTTTTGTTTTTAAGTCTCATTTTCCTCGTCAAGTAGCTCTCAGCCTTGATGGACAGCCCACGAGTCAGTCAAGTCTGTAATTGTTCCTAATTTTAGAAGCTTGAATCCCTTCACCCCAGAAGCTCCGCCTTGCCTCCTCGCATCCCGGTGCCTCTCCCAGCTCGAGAAAATCTTGCTGTGTCATGTTTGAACCAAAGAGAGCCAAGTAGAGTAGAGAGAGGTGGCAGCAGCGAGTTGGCACAAACAGTGAATGCCGAGTGAAGTTCTTAAAATAAATAAATGCATCGAATTACAAGCATACATACATACATACATACATACATACATAAATTAATTTTAAAAATTTGCTTTAGGAAAGTCCACTTAGCTTAATGCTAACAAACAATGATTAACACCATAGACGAGCTAACCAATAGCATCAGTATCCTCTAAGTGGCCGAGGCATGCACACCACAATGAATTAATCATGATGCACAAAATGTTCTTCTTTACGTTCTGTTCAATGGAATTTTACAAAACATTTCAGGACCGTGGATGCAAAGCCACAACAGAAAGTGATAGCTCTCGCGTGCACACGCAAGTCTCACAGGATCCTGATTCCTTTGAGCGACTCCCGTTTTTTTGTTGTTTTTTTTTAGCCTCTTCCAGTCTGACGTCTGGCATGAAACATGCTGTAGCAATTCAGATTAGCACCACTCTCGCTCTAATCTCCCTCACTCGCCCTTCCTCTTCCGGTCTTTCTGGCATTATGTCATTTTCAGTTTCACATTCAAGTTTCACTCTATTTAACTGTCAGTCGTTGAACCCCATGTGGATCTGAACATCAAGCCGCCCACAGAGTGTCCACAGGACGAAGCAGCCTAAAATTAGCCAGTCATCAAATTATCATGCAGCGCACACTGCCCTCATGTGGCCAGATGGGAGAAATGTGAGTGCATTTTAGATTTATATTAATCTGGGAACTTCCTGTTGTACAAATCAACACAAGAGTACATTATAATTGACTAATAAACTCACAGGAGACTTCACCGGAAACAAAAAAGTTGGTCTTTAAAATGTAAATTAGGCTCACTTTGGGATAATTTGACTATTATGTTGTCTTGTGATGTTAAGTGTCTCTCAGGGCTGCGCCTCGGGGCCTTTGTAGTTTTCCATTTAGTTTGAGGGATCTCTTTGTTTTAAAGTAACTTTTAACAGCGTGTGTATTAATAGTTGTAGCTCTGGAGTAGCTGACCACTCATCCGGTGTAAAACAAAACTAACTAAATCTTCCTATTCTGACCCTCTGTTAAGAAACCATGGCACTCGTGACACTGTACGTTTCTCAGTCAATGGTCTGACAGCTAGGTTGGCCGAAGAACAAAAGCCATTTTGAAGATGCTAGAGTCCAGTTACATTAGTCAGAGGTGGCTTCGGGCATGTGCCATTCATTTGCAGTCTGGACACATGGTGAAACACTACAATCACTTGAAACACTACATTTTGTTGAATGCACACGTGATTGATCGCTTCTGGTAAGTGGCACACACGTGATTGCTCAGTGATAATGTTGACATAGAAGGGGCTGGATGGCTAAATTGTGGACAGGGAAAAAAATGTGTCCTTCAAATTGTGACTTTGTGACTTCCTGATTCTCCCCTTTTCACTTGACTCTCAACATTAAGTACACGTGCACAATAATAATGTGCAAGATATTAAACCAGCTCTCTATCAGCCCAGAGAACTAAGCATGTTTCACCTCTCACGCCAAGGTCCTGAGCTGGCACAATTCGAGCCAACCACATCACAGCAGATCAAAACAAGTCGCGTGTCTCGAGCAAACCAACAAATCCTAAATGGGCTTAAGACACTAAGCCTGCAATGTGACCCCAGCTGCAAGTTCTGGACCACTGTGGGATATGGTGGACAGTATAAAAAAAACACAATCAAAGTTTAGATGTGGAATTTGGTATTACACAAGCAAGAGAAAGCAGCAAATTAGAAGAATTTGACATGAAGAGAAATCAATGAGGGCCCAAGGATGCAGCCCTGAGGGACACCAGAACCAAAGCATACAAAAAAATGTGTCAAATTAATCAAAACAGAGCCTTATTATTTTTTGCAATGGCAGATTATTTTTGACTGGATCCCCTTAGCTAGGGTAGATGTGACAAAGGTTTTGATCAGTGTGTCGTGGGTGTGTTGGATTCGATACCAGCTGACTTTGAGCAAGAGTACATGTAGACCTTGGACTGGTCGTCAGCCAATCACGGGGCATAAACAAATTACCATTCCCATTTACATTCCCAATAAAGTCTATAAATCACAAAAAAAAAACAAAAAAAAACATCAAGGA